AAAGTTCCCAGATAAAAAACCACCCGATTTTACTAAAAAAAGGATTCAAAAAAAAATTTTAGGCCCCTCCGAAACCCCTTTTAATTTGTAACCCGTTCCCCTGTGGGGCCCGGGGAATCCCTTTCCCCCCCCCCCCCCCAGGGAACACACGCCCATTACCTTTTTTTGAAATTCGCCGGGGTGAAGGGATCCCGGGGGGAGGCTTTAGGGGGCTTCGTCCCCTGGAAAGAGGGGTAACCCCCCCCCTCCCTTTTAGTGTTCCGTTTGGGAGCGAACTTGAAACATTTCCCCCTTAAGGCCCAGTTAGGGGGGAGAACCCTCTCCACACCCTTGAAACTCTTGGGTTTAGGGAGGGGAGGGGAGGTCGGTTCATACATGTCCCCAAACCCGAAAAGAGGGGTATTTGGGGGGGGGGGGGGGGGGCGTACTCATTTGTTGCTTGCCGTAGTCATTTGACCATTGACCACGCGTCCCTTTCGAGACGGAGTCGTTAGACCATTGACCCCGCATCCCCACAAAGCCGGGACGGAGCACGCCGGGTTCTCACCGGACCAGGCTCTCACATCACCAAGCGCGAAGCGCCGTGAGGTATTCGGCGAGTCGCATGAAGGGTGAGCTGCATCCTGCTAAGGGTGTTCGGCATCTTGTGCTTACTTCCTTGCGTATTGTGTAACTGCCTTGAGGGTGCTTGACCAATTTAACACAACGTGGTGCGATTATCCCCTTTGCGCGGAGTGAGGGTTCTCGACCCCGCACAACATAATCAACTCGACCACCATTGTGGTTACCACCCAAAAAAAAACAAGAGGCAAAAAAAAAGCGGCAACCTGGTTGCCGAGCAGTGATCGGCTTGCTCTACAAAATCGCTGCCAAGCGACGAAAACCCAACCCCGACGCCAAACACCGGGGGGGGGGGGGGGGGTACCCCTTTTTTGCTTGCCCGAATCATTTGACCATTGACCACCCCTCCCTTTTGAAAAGGAACACCCTTCCCACCCCCACTAAAAAAACCCCCAAAATTTGGGAGCTCTTTACGTTTCTGCCACAAACTACATAAAAATTTCTTGCACATCTTATCCCTGTCCTCTAGGGCCTCTTGTGCCCACCATCTATCCCCAACTATCGCGATCGTTTTTTCGCTGTTGTCTAATTTACCAAACTTGTCCATGTCACACCCTCTCTGTCTCATTTCCTTCTCGAGATCCTCTCTTTCCTTCCTGTACAACTCACAACTCCCCAACTATGTGGGGTCTACTCTCCTCCGATTTGCCACATGGACATGTGTGTGTGTGGGGGGGGGGGGGGTAGGGAGGGAGGGAACAAAATCGCTGGCTCCTGGTACAGAAAACAAGACCGTGTAAGACCAAAAACGCTCCCAGTCTCGCTTGTGCGTGGTAGGGGCAACGGTTTCGAGCTCCTTGTGCATATCAAGATGCCATGCTGTCGAGTTGTTTTTGTGCGGGGGTGAAGGGCTACCAGTGCAAAGGTGGGCGCGACGTTGTAGTCGTAACCAAAAACCACACTTGCACTTCATGAGATGGGACACAAAAAGGAAAAGGCGCTTTGGTATTTGACAAGGGTAGACGCAGCCAGAGTAGCGGTATGGGTTCCGCATGTTCTCTCGATGCTCTCTCGCCCGTCGAATCCTATGCTCATGGCAAGACAAAGATAGGGTCCTCAAAATGATATACTACTGCAGTTAGGCCAAATTGATACTCCTTCTCAGTAGATAACATCATCAGCATTAGCCTTTGAATGAGTGCCACTAGTACTGCTACAAGGTACAGCAGTACATGCCTATGTCAGCCTCAAGACCAATCAAAAGGGGGGAAGAAACGTTTGCAATGCAGAACGCCTACAAGTAAGCAACCAGCATCCACTCATCGGAAGGTTGTGTGACGCAAGAAAGACCACCAAATACAAGCAGCCCCTATTGGTTTCCTCACTGATAGCAAAACAAGAGACGGGCGGGTTGCGCAAAGCTAAGAGTTTCTCATGTGGTTACCCAGACGGCTAAAAAAAAAGCAGAACCCCCGGCACTAATGTTTGGAGATTCGACCAATCATCGTACATGCAGTTGTTCGATGGTGAAGTTCCTTGGAGGTGGCGGCCGATCCGCAGCCGACTCGTCATCGTCCGTTGCTGGCGCCCGTGCGGGTTGGAACATGAGGTACATGAGCACCAGCGCGCCCAGTGCGGTAAACCCCAGCATCGCCATACCCCCGGAAGAATCCTGCGCAACCAAACAAAGACACCCAAGCGAGAGCAGCCAAATGTTTATGTTTACCCGAGAATTCTAGCGCGAAAGTGGCATCGGCCCGGAGCAGTCGATATGTCAATAGTACTGGTAACGAACTTAGACCCGACAGGAAATACCACGAAAATACGTTGTGAAATACTGCTACAAAATCACTGTACAGCAGTACGCTGCTCGGAAATCAGTAGATACACAGCCAGGCCTGGTCTTTCACACGTGGATTTATTAATCGCGAAGTAATCGTGGACTCTCTCTGTGGGTTGGGATGGGTTTGTTTCCTTTCTATACGAAAACACAAGACATACTGTACACTTCCCGATGAACACGATACAAATGCGTGGGTGTGCGGCGTCAACCAGCAGAACGGAAACCAAGTGCAGTCAATCTGGAGCAGTGTCGTAGGCATCAAGACTAAATCACTCCCCTTCCCCCGTCATTTGGAGTAACTTCAATCGAACGATAGGCTTTGCTCAATGGTACCGGTACTTTTTTACGCGTAGATATGTAGCGCTGTCCAATGCTTGCTGGCCGAGTGATGACTCTGACGGTAGCGTAAATAAGACCGCCATACGGTCTCCCGGGAACGAGGAGCCCATGGAGTCGGACGTCGAGGCAAGTCGTACATTATTTGTAGACTGGCAAGATGGTAGTGGACTGCTGTCCGACACACATCTAAACTGCTGGCTGCTGGAACACTGCCAGTAGGGGTTTAGACCTCAAGGACCTGTCTCTCTGATTGTGGCACTTACTATTATATATGTACTTTTATACTGCCGAAATGCACACGCTCTATATATTAACAGGAGAGCGCGCAGTGATCCGCACAATACACACGGTGCCTTCAATGTGTTATAACAGGCACACCCTGCGTTGGGTGCTGCTTGCGTTCACAAATTCTCCTCCTTCACCGGCTCTCAGGATGTGGAGAAAGGCAACACGAAGATGAGCCACTGCTGTAGTAAGACCGCGACCATGTGCTACACCAATAAACACATGTGCTTTTTTCGCGAAGTCGCGAAGTGCATGCTTGAGAAGTGATGAGAACAAAGCGGTGACACATGACATGGGCACACGGCACAAACGGCACGTTGATGTTCTCGTACACCGAAACGTCGCTTTGGCTTCCCATTGGTCGCTACAAAAGAGGGGCACGTGCGATCACGTGGGTGTGCCCACCAACAGGCTGCCACACGAAAACACTGCTGGATTAAAGTTAGTAGTTCGCGCAGCAAGCAACCCGGTGGTGATTTTGCCGGGGCGGAACTCACAAAGCGCGTAGGGCTGCATCACCAGGCCATTTACAGCACCCACAACCCGCAGGGCACGAACAACATTGTACACAGAATGCAGCTCCCAACGTAACATGCCGACACCTGCTCTTTCGAAAGACGCACCGGGAGTTGAAGAGCGTCCATCTGGACCATCGGTGGTACAAAATGGAGAGGGAGAGAGCTGTGTCGCGGTGTGTTTGCCAATTGGTATGTGCACGTGAAGCAAAAGGAGTGTCCAGTGCCCAAGTGTCCAAGTGTCCCGCTGCCCGTGCTCGCAAGCAGCGCCAAGCGCCAAGCATGCCGTCCGAACCATGTCTGATAGAAATCGGTTCTTGCCAATCTGCGGGTCCCCCGGCATCTTGGATCTTGATTAAAGATTTGAGAACTGATTCCATATTGGAGAACTGAATCCATAATGTCGTCGTGTCGTCGGCGAGCCCGCTTCACTCTTCACGGCGACTGCCGCCCGCCAAGTCAAGAGGCCTAGTTCCTCCCTTGCGCTGCTGGATGGCGACGCCGCCCGGCTGCCCAAGGAGGACCACCGGGACTCGCTCAGCTTCGGACTTGGGATCGGACGAGTTTGCACTGCTGTACTGTGTGGTGTACAGCAGTAGTACGGGTACGACAGCAGTAGTCTACGGAAGGAGGACGTTGACGAAAAGGTCAAAGTGCTGCTGCTGCGCTCTGTACGGTTCTCTGCAGCGGATGGCCCAGCAAGCGCTATATCCTGCAACAAAAGCAGTGGGGTCCAGGACCGATGCAATGATGCAATGCGGCGTAACTGCCGGCCGAGGGCCGAGCTCTGCGTTCATCCAATTTCATGTGACATCGCTCGCATGGAATATGGACGAATATGATCGGTCTCAGGGTACTCTGTTCATAGCTTGCATCAGCACGCGCGCCCTGCCAAAATCCTGCTGAAGAAGGCAGACACCATTTGGCAAAGGCCGAAATACGTATGTGCAGCGACCCGGGCATCCGCGGGTATGCGAGTTGTGAGACTCTGTGGACATCGCGCACGAATTATTTTTGTGGTGTTTGGCGATGTGTGCAGTCAAACAACAGATACATGTAGATTCACCATCACATCACAACCGGTGCCTTTTCGGTATATCAGTCGCACCCGAGTGCTCAAGCCAGCCCGTTTGGTTGCTGTGTTCGTATTGTCGCAAAAATTTCTCAGTCGTATATATCCCTAAGGACACCAGGTACACATTGCTAAAATAAAAAAGTTTGGCGCGGCTAGGCCGCGACCAGGCTGGTCGACATGGGGCGGGAGACGCCCTTGCCAGCGGTGCTATTTAGCCGATCATGGGCTCAAACTATCTCTCTTCATCGAGCGGTGAAGTTTTTTTTCCTCTCCTAATTCCGTCTTTGCGTGCGAGCTCTAGTTTCTCCATCACTTCGCTTGTCTTCGACCATTTTGGTTTGGCGAGGCAATCATACGTCCACAAGCGCCATCTTCTTTCCACTGCCCCCCCCATGATCTGGTATTGAACCACCAATACCTTCTATATATAATCGGAGGAGAACCTCACGGTGTTGTCACGTGACACGTTTGACCACCCACGATTGCAAACAAACAGCGTCCTGAGCCGATGATGAAATAGACTTGGTCTAGCATCATCAAGTACGCCGCTCCGGTGTCGGGATGGCTGCCTCGAGACGCGTTTGTGAGATGCGACAATCAATGCCGATGAGACGGCCGAGACAACCCTCGACCATGTTATGTTTGAGTGAGACTACACCTGTATGGTAGGTTGGCAACACTCCTGACTTCAGGTGTGGCGAAGACATAGTACAGCAAAGATGAACCATTACAGCTTTAGACTTGGTCCAGATGCAATGGGCGTGTCCATCCATGAAGGCAAAGACCGAATCACATCGCCATCTCTTCTACCCCTGCCTCCTTCTCGCGACATCGTACTTGTGCACGCTCGAATCGTTTGTGTTCTTCCTCGATCTTCTTCTGTTGTTACTGTACCAGGCCGCCGCTGGTGAATGCGTCGCACGGCTGGACCTACACCGAAGCGTGTCGTCGATGAGATACTCGAGGAAACGATAAAGGATAGTGTGCACGGTCCGACCGTCACCATTTTCTCCCCTGCCTGTCGGATAAGCAGGATGCGGGGGGCACCGAGGGGGTTGGAG